TGAACCACCACAAGCTCCCAACCTTCCCACAACGACTATATTTACTGGAGTCTCAGACTACTCTGAATTTAAGATAACCCACAATAGTTAGATTCTAGACATGGAATATGTATATATTTGTTCTAATTTTTCCATGTCTAGAATCTAGTTTGAAAGGTCACCTTATATTAATCCTCCCTCAACCACAAAACAGAGACACTCAACTACTCTGCTGTGTGCCCCCCCAACTCTCTCCCCGACACCCTCCTGCCCCAGCTGCCTGCCACCCCCACACACCATGCCTGTGCACCCCACACCTGCCCCTATGGTACCTGAATCCCTTGCCCGCCCCACTTGCACCACCTCCTGCTTGGTCCCCCTGCCACTTGCCCATGCTCCTGCCTGGCCCTATCACCTGTCCTCTCCCAGTGGTACCAGCCTCCTCTAGCACCTGCCACCCCCAACTCAGCTCCCCCTGCTGCCCCTCAAAAAATTAAAATTCAATCTAATTTGTTTTACTTTGGTATCTTTATAGCAGATCAACTACTAAGAACCTGCAATTAAAACGCTATTTGAGTTACCTGTTTACTTTACAAAATGGTATTTTAAAGGAGCTAGAGATGCTATATTTATGTAAGTGAAAAAATGTTCTTGTTCCTTTTGAATACAGGGAAAACAATTTTTACTACAATACAAAGAATGTGGTTCTTAGTGGTTAGAAGTAGTGTTTTGGGGTTACTTTGGTCACAAGTATTGTTCCTCCTCCCCACCCTTTCTAATTATATGACATGCCAACTTCCTTTCCAGCTAAAGAACTCAATTTCCTTACACAGGTTTCTTTAAATATTTTTTCAGATAACAGCTATTTAAATCACACAGTCAGAGTTTAAAACAATTAGAAAGTGATATAATTTGGTGCATAAATTTACATTAATGCATTTAGTTTCACACACACTGGGCCTCTATGGTTTTAAAGCTATATCTGTACTGCCTTCTTGCCAAATCTAGACTACAGCTGAGAAACAAGCCCCACCAGCTCACTCTAGGAACTAGGCACAAGAGATATCTTAAAGAGTCCTTAGCACGTACCCCTGGCAAAACCATCCTTCTGTTCTCTGTGAATGACTGACACTTTCTGCAAAAACATTTGAGTTTTATAGTCAACCCAATTTCTAAGAGTCTTAAGGCAAAGTTTTGACTAGTTCTATCAGCAGAGCTCCTCAAAGAGCTAAGCATCTAGTTTAATCTGCTTTCTGCCAGCCCCTCTTTGAAAGATTGGAAAAAAATGAATCTTACTGTATTTTGTAAAGTATTTTGAGATGTGCAAATGAAAAGTACGTGATAGTGCTATATAAACATCTTACTGGAACAACAAGAGAACATAGGCTTCCATTAACTTTTACAGCTATACTGTGGCTAAATGTTGTCCCAAAATACACACTTCAAACAAAAGCTGAACACAGGAGAGGAAAGAATGGTTCTGGTCACATTTGTTCCCTTTGCTTTACAGTTTCTCTGAGGTAACTCAGCAAAAGACTGATTGATGCTTTGCAGTCAATCAACATGCTTTGGTGGTCTGTACAAGCAGGTTTTGCACAGAACAGGAATTCACCAAGAAGCACTGGAAGAACTGAAATATAATACAGGGCACTCTGCACATTATACAAATTTTTAAAAAGTTAAGGTGGGATCTTAAACACTACGGAACTTTCTATGGAACAACAGTTACTATAATGGATTCCCTGAAGTTGTGAAGTGATTGCTTACGCTCAGGAAACATGTATACAACTTTAATTTTAATGCACATTGTTCACTCGTTAGTCATAACTACAGATTCACTCACTCCCCAAAAGGAAAACAATTCAGTTTCCTATTAACCAGGCATGTCACTCTGGTGGGTTGTCTGCCAGACTACTCACCCTTTCTCTAGTTTGCCTATTAGAAATAGGTTTACAATGCAATCTGTGTAGATCAACAAACTAATAAAGGAAAGACAAATAAACTGTGTCACTAAAGCCAGCCTCATTCTCCACCAGGGAAAGGACTGGAAAAATATTTACATAGAAGAGAAATCTGTTTTAAAACTAGACAATATTTGAGAATGAAAATACTTTGTGACTACATAAAATTATTCATTTCTCACTGTCCAATTCTACTACAAACGGCCCAATGTTGCCAACACTCATGGTTTTCCTGTAAGGCTCATACCGTTTGCTGCATTTCTAAAAGACACACCCTCCCAGAGTCATGCAATTACATGAGAATCTGAGCTTTCATTTGAAAACCAAGAGGTAAGCCTCTGCGGCATAGAATAGTTTTAAAATATAAAACCTAATGGTTCAAACCACAAGCAAAAATATTTTGCTCTCAATATTTATTTTATTTCTATTAAAATCCCTTGTGATTTTAGGGACCTGACTCATGTCTCTAAATGCCTGGGGTTGGCAATGATGCTATGGCACACT